CTTTGATATTGTCGTCCTAGTATCGGACAATCGATGAAGAAAAGAAATTCAAACGTTTTCCTTCATCGATTACTAATTATATGCCAAATTAAGCGTAAAATAGGCAAATGCGTCAACCGCATACGCTCCATAAGAAACCCCAGGTTATTGACTGGAATTCCGAGAAGGCTCCTACAGCAAACAAACTTTCCTTTTAAGCGATTTCTCGGAATCGTTGCTCATTATCCTGATTATGCACTATCGGAGTATATTTAACGAAAATCATTTTTTTAGAATTCGGTCAGTGACCACCAATATGTGGAGAATCGTCGCAATGACAAAAGGAAAGTTAATCGTGACTCCAACTTAAAATCGAATACTACGAAGACGCAATTAACCACCAACTAAAACTGTGAAACCTTTTAACCGTCAGATCAATTAAACAAAACATTTAAAGTTTTACAACTTTACAAATTCAAAGCATAATTCGCTCTTTTCCTAATGGTGTATTAGAATATAAATTCAAATTACTGGAGCACATATTTTTCTTCTTTCTTCATCGCGCCTCCAGAAATAAGAAGAAATTTAATGATAGCGTAAAATTTCGAAATAGTTTACAATGTTATGTTCCTCTGTGACGACAACTTGACTTTCTGATTTTGTAGAAGATTGCCATCAAATAGATTCTATACTGTCATCAGCTCTATTTGTGGTGGCTCCAAGAACATTAAGGAATACAGATTTGTTTATGATGCCGTTTGTGGACATAATTTTAGTCTGTGATGTGGTGAAGATTTAACTTTCTTAGTTCATTGAAAATTATGTTTAACATAAGACCTGCAATATAATATTTAGTAATTGTAAAAAGACCCACTTGCTATTGAAAATCGAATTTCAAAATTCTCAACTCGCAATTATTGTATATCCGCTTGACCTGTTTGTATCCCCAATAATGAATAAATAAATAAAAACAAAATCTTTTCTGTATTTGAGAAAACGCAAGTATCAAATTTCACGTCTCGACCGGCTGAAAGCTCTGCGGCGACAAACTGTCGATCGGAACCGAGGAGCCATGAAGACGACCTCCAGGTGGCGTCGGCCGGCGTCTCGCGGGTTAAGATTCCCCCCAATGGACGAAGACGATCGTCGACCACACGGAGGGTGTCTGGGAGAGAGTTTCCAGTGACCTACTTGTCTGCGAGATGTGTGCCATCAGCGGTTCCTATGGCCAGTCGGTAGCCGATTGTCGTAGCACCCGTCGAGAGGTAATTCCCTCTTCTGCAATTCACGCCGACGACGACGACGACGACCTGCTACGGGTACGCGGTGTTTGCGGCGTGACTCGCGATAACACCGCAGATATTATTAGTGATCGATTCGGTGTGATTTTCTCTAAGGGAACGCGGTAGCTCTGTGGATAGGTTTGCGAGATGGGTAAGTTTTTTTACACAGGGTCGTGCATTTTTTTAGGGTTAACGTTTATGTATTTTTTTACCGTTCAAGCACCACAGAAATGTAGGTTCGGCGTTTATACCGAGATGTTTAATATAACACCTTTAAGTTCGTTTCTGTAGAATACCTTAAAAAGTTGACCGAAATGCCGAAATCTAAAAAATAATATTACACTTTATTTGGGAGATTTTCAAAAAGTTCCAAGAAGAGGCACTGCAAATTTCTTCACTTAGCCCAACACTTTGCAATAACAAAAAAAACAAGCTCTAAAAAATGAAAAGCAATTTTAGTACTAATATTACGTAAAGTCTGTCATAGATATAAGGAAGTGACTAACTGATATGAATTAAGGAAAGACCCGGGCAAGCTGTAAGAATGAACCGGTCTGTACTTTGCTTAGAATTTAATTATTTGGGGTTCTGTTAGGAAAGATACTAATCAATATTTATTTATTTATGTATGTAATCATGTTTAAATCTAAATTAAAACTACAAATTATTTTTATTACCTACCAAAATTACTTAAAATTATTCACATAATATATCAGTACCACTGTCGCTATCATCGCCTATTCTAATTATTATTTGTTCTATATTATTTGCAATATGAATATACGATTGTTCTGCTTTTTCTATATGTTTAAGAGAATTTGCCCAACTTTGTGGAGGGATTTTGACACTTCGGTTTCTATAAGTTTGAGGACATTGGAGCTAACACGGTGAAATACATTGTCACGACGAATGGCAGATTTTAGTTGGTGCCAAACATGTTCAATGGGATTAAATATACAGTGGTAAAACTGTATGCCCTAGATTTTTTGCATAATTATCACCGACGTATTTCTTTTGTAGGTTCAAGCTTTGTAGAACCTCAATTAATTGCTTTTTGGTATAATCTTCGTGAAAATAAATGTCGTTATTATACATCTAGTTTTGGATTGTTGCTTTTGCGTCTCATGAGGAAGGGGTTTTCTAGTCAACTGTCTACTGTCTACTGTGATAACTTGCATTGTCCATTACAATGACGCTACTAGGAGGAATGTTTGGAACTAATTTGTTTTTAAACCAACTTTCAAATGAATCAGCTGTGGTGTATTCATGGTAATCCAGAGAAGAATCTTTAATATTTTTCGCAGACAGAGAAACTCCATTTGGAATCCCACCATCTTTAGAGCCAGCATGCAAAATAGTTTTACCTCTTTTTGATGGCGCGTTCGTTTTATACTTATCAGTTGAGTCAACCCAACCCTTTTCCGGGATATCATAAGTGTCGAACCAGGTTTCATAAAGTAAATAATTATCCTTTGTTGTTCTCTGTAAATCCTAAATTTTTCTAGATATTCCAGTTGCCATTTCCGAATTCTAAAAGATTCCATTTAAGCTTGCCTTTTGTCAATTTTTTAAAATCTAAAACCCATGTGTTGAATGCACTTCCATTAGGTAGTTCTGCCACATTTAACACCGTTTTCGTCTTTTTCAAGCCTCCTAATTAAGATGTCTAATGTAGGCACGCTTTGTTCCTCATATAACTGGTAAATTTTACGCCGTATTATATCTTGATCACTTTCATCTTCACTCGAGAAAATGTCAGCATCGCTTCGTTTTTTCCTCGCTGAAATGCGATTATTCACAATTTTCCATACAGTTGATGTTGGAATTTTGGTAAATGTGGCCGTTTCTTCTAAAGATGCTTGCTTGCTGGCACCACATTCAATGAGAGTCCAATAAACATTGTTTATAACTTCCTTAGTCTCAATAGTGTTTTCTACATTTGGGCGGGAGCCTCTCCTGAGATACACTAGACTCCCACATATTTTGCATAATTCGCACACGATTCAACACACGCTGTATTACACACGAAATAAGAATGATTACTAATAAACTTAAACTAAGTAGTATACCAAACCAAAGAATATTAAAATTATAAAATTATTTTCTATTACGGACCACAATTTTACCTGAATTCAAAATTCCGAAACCTTAGGTAATAATCTTGTTGCATTGTATGTTAATGACCACCCTTGGATATTCCTATTCAAAAGCAATTGGTCACTTTCTTATATCTATGAACAGACCATACCTACTAAACACAAACAGCCAAATAACAAACACGTTATGGAAGTCAATTAAATAATTACATTTAGTTTTTAATAATTTTAATTCAATAAAAAAATAAATTTAATTTGATTTAATTTAAACAATTTACACTTAAAAAATATATTAATGTTAAGTTGGTGGTAAAAATTCTAGAACAATGATTTTTTGTTTACATCTTATATTTTTTTACGTCGTTTTGTTTGTGGAGGTTGCCCGAAGTCTTTAAGTTAAAACTTTACCCTTTTGAAGCAATGTCAAGTCCCATGTGGATTATGCATTGACTTTAAAATTCGAATTTTGAACAATTTTGAAATTATTTTAAACGCAAAACAATTTTTGATAAAAATTTAAAATATTTAAAATAAAACGATAAAACAGTTTTTTATTCAAATAAACTCAACCTATTATTTCTAAAAATAATTTTAATTTACTCCGAACGATGACTTGTCAACAAGATGTAAATATTAAAATAAAACAAAAATGAAATAAAATTCACCAATAGAAAACGAAAAACACGATTTCAATTAAAAAATAATGATTTAAAGTAAATAATAAAATAAAGTGGTACCCAATATTGGGATTATATACAAATAACAATTACAAGAGAAGGTAAGAGTGCAGCGCCCAGGAGTACCTGTTTTCATATTTCTATACTTATACTTATAAATAGCAACATACAAATAATAACAAAATGGTTTGAATTAAGATTTACATTTTACATCCTTGAAAGTAACCAGCTTTTAATTTATTTGGACAATAATTAATGGGAACAGGTCATTATATAGCTTATCCAGGTCGTAACTGTCAAATATACCAGCCAGATGACGAGGAATATTGACCCGTTTAAATATTAGATTTAAGTTCGGAGTCTCGAAATTATAATTCTTCTAAATTATAAGCCACCGTTTATTTATTATTTTAATTATTAACTGGTAATTTTTGGTCCTGCATGTTAAAAGTCGTATCCACGCACGATCGTCGCAAACCCGAGATCAGTGTTGCCTTTCATCCGACAATAGGACGTTTACAGTGAAAGTTTACTGATATAATTTGACCGATCTTCCATTGTAAACAGCAATCGTATTAATCAAATTACGCCAGATCCGCCCGGCTGCTTTCTAGGCGAACCATTTCCGTATAATGAAGTGTCTGCAAAAATATTATAACTAGCAGGAGATTTATCGGTACCGTACCAGATTTCATCATTTAATTTGAATGCGATTGTCGATGGGTTTCATCGGACCTCGGAGCTACACGTTTATTGTTAAGGATTTGAATACCCAGTAATTCTTTATTGAACGAGTCTGAAATTATGAGGGGGCGGGGAAAGGGAGCCAACAAAGTAACAGGCGAGTGTTTGGGAAAAAAATAATAATAAAAATGTTAATAAAATAATTATCTGACTGATTGTAGTTCTGCCAATTTCTATACTTATTCGTTAAACGCCAGAAGTGGCCGAGTAAGGGAGATATTACTCAGAGTAATAGCCTCGACAGTCTACTCCGAGTAGGTTAGACAAAATATTGGATATATATCCGATAACAATATAAAATGGTATTTGAGTTTTGTATATCGATAAAACTAAACCTGATCCATAGATGAACTGGGACACACAAGAACTTGAATAATTGTAACCAATTGTGACTTAATTTGCCGATATTGCCAGGGGGCGAATCGTCATCCTTGGTCAATGTGTCATCGTAACAAAAAAAGGGTAAGGTAAGAAATTTCTTCATTTTTTTATGTTATTCTTTTGATACATTGTTAGTTATGTATTTATTTAGTTTGTGTAAGACTTTACAGTTTGGGTTTCACGATGTCCGCAAAGGGTGTTAATATCTTCCGATCAGGTTTTACGCACCATGTCCAATCCCAGTGGTTCTTGGGTTATACATGGTTTTTGGCTATTTTATTTGCTGATTAGTCTTGTTCCTGGGCATTAAACAGGTTTTATTCTTCATCTGCGGCCATTTCCTTCCTTATCGGTAGGGTTTGCTTGCTAAGAATCTTCCTATATACTGTGATGTTATAAAATTACGCTTTTAATTTAAAATCAGAACTAAAGAATAACTGCATCAAGAAACTTGTAAAGGAAATGCTTAACACCATCGGTTTGTAAAGAGTTCATGAAATTTTGAAGAAAAACCACATTTTGTGGCTATGGCGTTTCTCTAGCCTCAATCACGTCCCATTAACGCTTGTTGCAGTTCCGACAGTGTCTGTTATTGTTTAAAATCCAAAATCGGTAAAGAAATGTTAGTTACAGCTAGTTTAAATTAGGCAACTTCTTGGGTCTCGTCTATGGTTCAGAAATTACACAAATTAAAATGGAAAATATTGTAAATCGAATTGTCGAATGGTATTTTTTTCCCCTTTGAAAATAGACAAGCGTTTAGCGATTTAAGAAATTCTTTTGTTTTAGATCGCCTCGATCGGGCAAAATCAAGCTCCGACTAAACCGTTTAAGATGAAGGATCATCTGGTGTTTCGTTGAATCGTATACACCGAGCGTTGACTTTTCAAAGTGACTAATGGGATTAAAACGTCCGAGTAGAGAGATGACAAAGTTTTAGGCAACAGGCGGACACTAATGGGTAAGTTATTTTTCGGTTATTTCGTTTTAATACCGCCTAAGCTGGCTTTAATGACACCAATGTCGAGACGAAACTGGTTCTTTTATACCTACCGGTGATTTATAACATTTATGATGGTGCGTGCTGGCTCGTTTGGAAGTTTCTACGCTTGTGGTCGACGCGAACTTGAGTTTTCATACCGACCTGTCACTACCGTGCTTCTTTAAGCTGTTTGCCGATTTTATATGAGGTGGAAAGTATTTAGCGCGACTACATGGTAACAGAAAACAGAAAAAAATGAAAGTTTTTAGAAAAATTATTATTTAAAATTTTATTATTTATTATTATTTTTATTTTTATTATTTTATTATTTATTATTTATAAATTATTATTTTTTCTTTTTTCTGGTCCCTGAAATCCAGTTTCAATACGTTTTTTTCAATTCCTTCCTGTTCTTCTGAATTTTAGTTTTTAGTTTAGTTTTGGTAGCGATCCTATTAGAAAAATCAATGAATCTATGGATTTATAACTTGAATAGTAAACTGAGGATAACACCAACAGGCAGGGAGGAGGAACTTTAACTCGTGCAAAAAGTTATCAAAAAGAATTTTAGAGTTAGTTAATTACTGCAAGAAATAATTGCATATTTAAGTTACATTGTGTACTGTATTCTGTATATTTGAAGTTAAACCGATAATAACGTGCGTAAAATTTGTTCGCTAATTTTATTTAAATTTATAATTCATGGAGCCAGGAAAAAGTAATGTTATGTTAATGTTATAATTTTTTTCATATATAGCGAATAGTAGTAAAAATACTGCCTATGAATATAGCTGTTTAGGGGTCAATAATTTGTTTAAAATTATTTGTTATAAGAAAAGTAAATAATACAAAGGTAATTCTTAGTAAATAACAACAATGGCATCAATTCTAGAAATATCATTTAAAAAGAATCTAAAACTACAAAGAGACACACCGATAAGAGGAGGATAAATGTGACATTGAACAATATAACTTTCCACAAACATTAGATCGTACTTTATTTATTTTAGAGTTCTTTCGTACCTATTTGTAGGATGTTTTCTGGAACAAATATATTTTTTTGGGCAGATCTGAATCTTAAGTTTTTAATTTTAATGTATTCAATAAATTGTTCATGTTTTGGTAGCTTGAAATAATGCAAATACAGATCTTTGTGAGTAGTAATTAATTTATAGGATATTTCATATCATTATCACAATTTTTCGACATTTAATTCTTCATAATTATAGGTTTTAATAATTATTATCACAATTCGCAGAGATAAGGATTATAAATTTTGAAATAGTTAGTTGCTGTCATTTGACAAGTTTTGGCACAATCTCCAGAGCGTTTCGCAAAGACGCAGAGGCCACCTGTTGTAAATCTCTGGGATATACTAATGTCGATTTATGGTTATGTCGACCAACCTAGACGTGGGAAGGGGTAATAAAATATAAAGTGAACAGTGTGATGTATGTTGCCACTACATCATAAAGAAATTTTACATTCGTAAATTAATTTTACTCATAAACCCAATGATTTTGTGACTTACTTAACAATTACAGTGGTAAGTTTGGTTAAATCACAATACTTGTTTATTTATTGTTTCCAAAAAACAAATACTTTTATTATAATACAACAATATTTAATATAAATACAAATTAAACAAAAGTAGTGAGCGAGCTTTTAATACAAACAAAAAAAAAGTTCGGTAATGAATAAAAGTAAAAAACTTAGATTGACTCTCTCCCTCTTTTATCACTCATCTTCAAAAAATTCCTGCTCAAGGATGTTTGGGAAGGAATTAACATTTTCTTTATCGTTTATTAATAATATATTACTTTAATTGGTGATAAATGTGGGTTACAATATCGAATTTAATTTTTCTCGCCATTCATTATTCGTTTCTTAATTTGTTTAAGTTTAAGTGACGTACAGAATTGGTAGCAAGAATTCCGCCCAGATTTTATTGCAACAAAAAAAACTACTTATAATTTATTTGTTAAGCAAAGGCAAAAATTGTAAGGCAAGTAAAGGTAAGTTTAGTTAAGGTACAATATTTTTACGAAACATGTGCAATTTTGCTATCTACTTATAAATAGATGCAGTGCAGTAATTGACGCCCCTCATATGAGAATTAGAGAAAAATTCATTTTATTATTTTTATTGATTTATTTTATAAACAGATACAACAAACAAACAACAATATGAAATAAATATTAATTCTATCTCAACTTCCATAAATTTCAGAATTTTTGCACGAAATAATAAAACGCATTTTGCTTTTATTAACACAAATTCCTTAATAGTTTAGCTTCCATCAATATTGACATATGTTTCGATGTCAATTAAAATTAGTGACAACGCAAATCTTTCTTGAGATATCGTTGATCTTAAATAATAGTAAGTCAAATTTTAATAAAAATTGCCAAATTTTCTCCCGGGCGTATATGGAAATTTGGGTCCCCAAAAATATTAATTTTATCAATCAGTACTGCTCCAGAAATAACCATTTTTCCCCGTCGTTTGAATATATAAAATATAAATATATAAAAACATATATAATAAAAATATAAAAAAAATATTTGCATACAATATTTGTAAAGTGTACTACAAATAATATTAAAGTTTGATAATAAATTAAATCTTTCTGTTATGGAACTAATTAATCTATCTAAAATTGTAAAAAAAGAATTTTAAATTTGATTTTTGGGTTCATTTGGAAGTTTTTATTTTCATTTTCGTTATTGTTATTAAAATATTTTGAAAATTGTTGTCTGGTCATGATAAGTTACTAAATTATCAATTGCTTTTGTGGCGTCACTTAAATGTTTACTTGAATTTTGGAGCATTTAACTAATGACGTTTATCTGTGACATGGATTATGGAGTAAACTATTATTTTTTCTGCAAATAATAAAGTTAAAGGCTGCGATTCGGAAGAATGCACTGTATTTTCTTTACGTGTTATTTATAGTGTATAATGCAACAAGTTTTGTACTCGAGTCTTGAGTTTTGTTTTGCCACGAGCGGAGAGAGTGCTTAATTACGAGAGAAATAAAAGTTTTATCATGTTGCATGCTATACTTTTTCTACTACCATTCATTTTTGAGTACATTTTGGTCAAATCGAAGGATGATCAGTCCAGCAGCGAGATTCGCATCTGAAACTAAAAAAAAATAACCTGAGTACCAAACATTAATGAAAATAATAAAACCCACTTAATATTGCATAATTTCACCAGAAAACACAGATAGCAAATATATCTAGTCCTGGCATAAAATCTGGGAATGAGTTTATATTGCTACTATTTCATTAACTGCAGATTATTTCGATCGTGCAATGGATACTACGCGACAATAGCCCCGACTTTCAACCAACAAAGTACCAACGTTTAAAATACATCAAAGAAAGAAGTCACTAATTCAACTTCTGTAATCGTGAGAACACTCACTCACCTGTAAGTCTTCTCAATTTTACGTATTGCAAACAATAGCCCGCCACATTCAAATGCACGGTTAACCAAGGAATGCCGAAATGATATTTTTTAAAATCTTACTGCACCCCAAAACTATGTTTATTATAAATGACGCCCTTCTACTAATCGATATTCTGACAGAGCGCGGTTTAAAAAAACATCTTGCTCCCAAATGGTTGCTTATTGCGTTGTAAATTTTATAGGGTAACTTAAAAAAAATATGCGTCTTACACATTTTTGCACGACAACAAGCATTATATCCAGCGAGTAAATTGTGATATGGCCGTCGGAATTGGAAAACCTCAAAATTCAAGCCGTGTGTAACATGCCCGAAAACATCCGATTGCTCCCATACCCATCGGTACTATTTGGGAATTGTCGGAAGTCGCTCGCAGTCATAGGTGACGAAACTGACATAAGAAAATGACACTTTCCATACGCTCGATCGGTGTATAATTTGGTATTTTAGAGAAGGGAGTAGCAAAAAGAAGTTTGTCCAAACCGTCTTTGCTTCTTTTTCAAATTAGAATGAGTAACTTCGTCAGCTGTCGACATCAATCGAATAGTCAAATCGCATTGTCTACTGCAATTTACAAAAGGTTGACACCAAGTTTGTAACTATTTCCATTGTGTTTGCTTACACGTACAGGGAACAACATGTATATCAATCAGGCATATTTCTGGTGCAAGCAAAGTGACAGTTTTACCCCCAAAGTGCGAAAAACTCTGTGGAAAAAGGCGAACCGTTTCGACGCAACGATCTCTTCAAGATGAATGTTTGCGTATATTCGACGTTCTCCTCTTTCCGAATGCCATTCGAATTTTAAACACGAGTCGGACGATTCGCGGGATCGCCTCATAAATATACAGAGGCAAAAATCTGTTTACCGTACATAAATGCCATCCAATAAATCAACGCTTAATAAGAGATTATTTACGACTTAATGGGGACTCGTATCGACGGTTTTTGTATTCCGATTGCGGGAGAACAAAAAAAAGAGCGAACATCATCTCGCGGATATTCGACACTCGGCCAGTAACGCGGTGACGGGGGGAGGAGGGTATCGATTTCGACGGGCGCAAAAAAAAAGCGTGCGAGGAGAAAGTAATTTTCGGTGTGCACTTCGGATGCCGTTAATATTCGACCACGGGCAAATGAACATTTTTAAGTGGCACACACCCAGAAATTCGACCGGTTGTCTTTTTCGAAACGCGACGACAATGGTTTTTCGTTTCGGATATTTTTCTTTCCTTTCGGTCGTGCCGAATTCTTGGAACGCCAGACGTACGAGTGAGATGTAACTGAAAACAAAGACATTATCAGCACAACGTTATCTCCAAAGGGGACCCGATCATGTAATAACATTTACGAGTCCGCGTATATTCCATACGCTCATGGTTACCATTCGCGATGTGTATAAATCTTGACCTATCAGTTCGTGTTTCAGTTCTCTCTTATGTTATCTAAATGAGAGTTAGTTTGTAAAATGAATTGTTGTCACCATCCTTAGTCAGATTGCCGC